CAGAGACAGAAGAATCTGTTTTATAACTCTCTTGGAGGGTTCACATTCTGGAAAAAGTAATAAAGGCAGAAGATCAGAGCACTTTTCCACCAGTAGCCTGTGACATGATAAGCCTTCCAAGGACAGCTCCCCAGGTACTCTAACTTAAGTATAACTTCTACTGAAATGACTCCAGTGTTCCCACTGATCTTACTCTTAATCCATGGAATTCACAACCACAAAGTCAATCTGGATTTTGTCTAGTTCCTACTGAATTTAGCAGCGTGACTACAGGCAATGACTCCAATAATTCCATCTCTAAATTGTATCTTCAATTACTTCCAGGTATTTTGAAGAGGTAAGAAATGTTTAATGAACTGTTATATGAAAATACTACAAGTCACATTAAATGCTTCTTTTTCTTTACAGGGTTTGTCTTCAGTATTGGGAGAGTTTCAAATCCCCTTGACTAAAATAGCACATCTCAAGAATGTTCTATGTATGCTTTCCTTCATAAATATTTACAATTTCTTTTAAGGGTATGTGATTTCCAAATATTATTAATCTAAAAATAACTCATTAAAAAAATAATTTTGGAAGCTTTTCCCCCCCTCAATTATTCCAAATCTAAAAATCCTAACCTTTTCTACTGTATCCCTCCAAACCACTAAAAGGCACAGCAGTGATCTATGAATGGGTGCATGAGTCAGGACACAGGGTCCCATCCTGTGTAAGGGTGTGCAGCCCTGTGAGGATAGAGAACCTAAGTACCAGATAGCCTCATCCTGTGCAAGTCTGGGGGCAAATGAAAAGAGCACAGTCATCTTCTAAATAACAGTCTCAGTGTCAGAACCGAGAGATCCCCTCTGAGTTACCATGTCACGGACTCATGTAAGCATGACATGGGACCAAATTACTACATACTAGACATTTCAGAATGTGACAAACCCTAAACCTACCATGCCCTAACTAATGGCTAGACTTGAGTGTCATCCAAATCCTGTGAGAAAGGTTAAAGGGTGCTAGGAAACTTGTAATACCCCCAGTAATCTACTTTTAAAATTGTTTTTTAAAACGTGTCTGTCTGTCAACCACAGGCATAACCATTCCCATTATCTAAGTAAGAGTGGAGTATGCTGGCATGGCCAACAAAAACTAAGAACATATATTAATAAAGACAATGCAGGTTATGTAACATATAATTACAATAGTTTAACAAATATTAAACTGTGTATTTTTCAATGCTAAAAGCAAGGCCTTTAAAATTCCATTGTCTTAGAATGTTCTTAAGTAGTTACTTTAAATGTGATTATTTCCTAAACCACACAAGAGTAAAATAGAGCATTTATTGATGGAATAACAAAAGTGCTTTTCTTAAATATTCTTCAAAATACATTTGTACAACTTACAATAATATATCCAAAATAACTGTATATACAAAACATTGCCTAGTTCTTAATGTATGTGCTTTTTTTCCCCAAAAATTACAAAGTAACTTCTTTTTAATTTTTTCTTTTTTTTCTTTTTTTTTTTTTTTTTGGCAAAGTTCAACCTTAACAGAGCTGACAATTTTAAAGGTTGGTTTAAGAAAATATAACCTGAGGGAAACTGACACGCAAGAGCCAATGACAAGCGGAGGATTTGGAGAACAGTTTTAGTTTGTTAAATTTAAAAAAAAAAATTAGTGATACTTTTCACATTACAAAAATAAACCAAAATGAAAAGGTCACTGTAAAATGATGGAAAGGATCTGTAGACTGTTTTTAGTATTTCAAATAGCCAACAATGCATGTCAAAGAATGAATGCAAGATTACAACAGTCTTGTATTTACTTTGTATTTGGAGAAGACAGTGAAATAAGTGGCCACATTCTATTTTCTTTTAATTGCTATTAATATGGTTGATTTGATTGGCTCTTCGATGAATTTCATCCAAGAAGTTCTCCAGTTGTTCTATTAGCATTCGTTTTTTAAACCTGTGGGAGAAAAGTAAAAACATTCTCAATTACATCTTAATGGACAGCATACATAAACTATTAAGTTTCAAAAAGAAAAACTGGTTTGGGAAAGATTATTTATTTTAAAGTAGAACAAAAATGAAAACCAACACATAAGATCTGTTGGGAAATGCCTAAACATGAGTTAAACAAGGATAACACCAATAGACACATGCTAAAGTGGACAGGGGAAGAAGCTTATGAGGTCTCAACCCTACACAAAGAACTAACTAATAGGCAACTAAAGAATGCTGTGAGCGGGAGAAACAGTCTTCCTCCAGGAAGAGCATACCAATTGGTTATGCAATAACAAATGGTCAGCCCTTAAAATAGACATACAAAAGTAACACTACACAGACCAAGCAGGTTTTATATATATATATATGATTGTGTCACACACACACATACACACACACACACACACACACACACACACACACACAAGCAGCTATATGTATGTAACATCAGTTAATAGAAGAGGATCTGGATTTGAAAGAAAGCAAGGGTGTTATATGAGAGGTTTTGGAGAGAGAAAAGGGAAGAGGGAAATGTCATAATACTATAATCTCAAAAAAACAAATAAAAGAAAGTTTTTTTTTTTTTTTTTAAAGAAATCTGTTGGGGACTAGCAAGACAGCCAACCCTGAACCCTGATGACTTGAGTGTTAATCTCGACTCCTAAAAGTTGTCCTCTAACCTCCCTTTGTGTACCAAACATACAAAATAAACTGGTACAAACTTGATGAAAGACCTGTAAATTACTCTGCATACCAGAACAGAATCAAAGAGTTTTTTCCTTAAAAGAACGAATCTAGTCCTAGGAACAATGGGAGAGTGGTCATCCTTCCTATCACCAAAAAGGAAGATAAAAGGAGAAAAATACTAATGTACACAAGGATTCCAAACATTATAGTAAAGTTGGATCCCAGAGCAGTTACTGTAGTACCATCTAGTCCTTTTTGAAAAGTGAGTATTGAAAGAATGGAAACAAGGAATGCAAGTGCCTACAAAAGGAAATGGAAAATGGGGAGCAGCATGTGAAAATCACAGGCTCTACTACATTTGAGGACTAGCACATCAAGTGGAATAAGGTATCTACAACACAGGATATAGAACACACCATGTTCTTCAGTACCAAATATAAGTAGGCTAAAATCATATATACAAAATCATTACTATCACTCATGTTTTTTAGAGTATCTCAAAATACTGGATGTTCTGTTCCTACTGCTTCCTTACTAGTAAAATGATACAAACAGGCACCAAGTTCTACGACAAAAGTGGCTGAAAGACAGATCCAAGCAACACAAGATCCAAGATGCATCAGTATAGGGGCACACGCCTAGAATCCCAGCACTGGGAAAACTAAGGCAGAACGAATCTAAGTTTGAGGCCAGCCTGGGCTATGCAGCAAAATGCTGGGTCAAAAATCATCTACACTAAAAATTCAAGCCACGCTTTAAACTGACAAAAGACAGAATAGTTTTCTTTAAAAGCTGAATAATTTAAAATATTTCAACTTATATGAAAATGTATAGCTTTATTTTGATCACTCAAGTAACCCACGCCCAAGCCACTCAAAAAAAAAAAAAAAAAAAAACCTAACTAAAGCAGTCATTCTCAACCTTCCTAACATTACATTATTACCTTTCAAGATTATTTCTAATCACTTAAAATAATTAATAGAGAAAGGGGGAAAAAATTAAAAGATTTACAACAAACATCAAAAAGCAACAGAGAAGAAAAAACAAGAATTTTAAAAGAAATGTAATAATTTACAAGGGAAAAGGCCCATAATTCCTCAAGGGTTTGTGTGTGTATTTCAATGAACAACTTTCAATTACCTAAAAGGAGGCTGGGGGCGGGACCCACACATTTCAACGAATCAAATGCATGCATCAACTCAAGGGCATAACAACTGCCATTCAAATATCATGTATGCAGACTGAAAACTATTCATTAGTATTTAGTAACAAACAAGCTTCTTTACCTGGATGCTTCCTTAATGACATTCTGTAAAAATATTAGCCTTGTTTGTAAACTGCCTTGCACATGCTTCAGTAAAGTGAAGATTCTTTCATATTCTTAAAACAAGAGAAGGAAAAACAATTAACTGGTTTTATTTGTATTCTCACAATGTTTCTCCTGCAGCTTCTTTGCATTGAGATATACTCAGACAAAAATATTGCACGTAAAAATGTTACCACCGTTAATATAGATACAGGTGCCCTATTTGTTAGATATGTGCATGAAAGTATGTATCATCAAAAATTAAACAACTTGCCAAGGCCTCCCCTCCCCCCCTTTTGGCCAAAACTTCCCAGTATGACAGCAAGCCAGCTTAGAGATGAATGAATTAAAGAGCTCTGCAGTCATTTGGAGAAACAGGCAAACAGCCTTTACAGAAATTCTAAACTCTAACACACTGGAAGGAGAAGACCCCAAAAGGTTAAAGGCACTGCTTCAGTTTCCAGATCTAACTCTGTCCAAGATTCCACAAGTTCCTGAATGCCCTTCCGCTGCATGTCATTATACCATCGCAGTAGTGATGGCCTGGTTATATCCTGAATGGATGACATCACTACTCACAGTTCTTGTACCCAGAGTTCTCTCATACTCATGTGACAGTCTTAATGACTTTGGTTTGGGGCTAAAGCACATCTAGGTAGCTATCATAATTCATACATGGTGGCGGGCAGTAGAGAGGTTTTCAAAGGACTTGCAGAAGGGGCATGTTGAGAACTGAACTTTGGGCTATACAAGTGCCCTACTTGTTAAATATAAATACACTGTCAGCCCAGCACTCAGTCATTTAGTAGTCTGTCCAGGTTCGCTGTTCTACTAAAATTTCAACTCCTAGTTGGAATAACAGTCAAGATTCTGGGTCCCTGTTATGGCAGCTACCTGACTGTATCTTTTAGTAGATCTTACAGCCCTCTTTAGATAAATTCCCTGCTGTCTGCTACACTGGAGTACCATGAGCACCAAGATTATTCAGTGTTTTCCAGCTCAGTAAGAACTTAAATCTTAGAAGAGTTCAGAGAGTACTTCAAGACTGATCTAGAATCAGATGTATGCTTTAGTGAATTTGACTGTTTTTGCTTATTTGAACACATAAAGAAATCAAGTTTTCTCTCTCATTCTACATACTTCTTCCTGGCTTTCGGATCTCTTTCATTATTTGTGCTTTTAGTTCCGTGTTGACCTCCTCATGGCTTCTGCAATGCACCGATTTCTTTCCTTTGCTGAGGGAAGATGCTGGTATATTCTCTTCAGCACTTTGTTCTTTATTTCTTGGCTCGTCATGATTTTCTAAAAATCCACCAGCAGTGAGGTCATTATTTCCTAAATGTTCATGACCAAGGGCCTCTGTATGATTGGTTGATGGTTCCAGAAGATTGGCTGGAGATGTTAAAAATTCAGTATCCATAGCATTTGGTGTCATGTCTGATGAAAGCTGGTCTGCAACGTGATTTTCAACCACATCATCTACTGTTGAATCATTAGTGGCTTCTGAAATGAAATCAAAGAAATGAAGCCAAAAGTGAGACCCAGGATTAAAGTACAGAATAAAAATGCTCAAGTAACATAATTACTACTAATAACTCATTTCTTAGACTAAGACATACCAACAAGATAATATGGTTCTTAGGCTTTGCCAAAGATACAATATGTCAATATGAAGCATTCGTAACACTTACAGAAACCTGCAATTCTGCCCTTCGAAAGAAATTTAAAACAAAGTTTATTTTAGCTTTCAGTTTTCTACCTTATTTTAGCAATTTTTATTAAACAAGTTTTCAGTACATCACTAAAATTGTCACTGTCAGCTTTAGAGTTCTACCTACCTCATTTTAAGCCTACTTTTGTCTTATAAACCTGTTCTTTAGAGAGCAAAGTACACAATGATGTTTACCGCTCAGCACTCTGCAGGGAACACCAAGTAGGGCACACACACTTCATAGCACATGTTTACTAGCCATCCTTTCAGGCCCCAGCCATGCAACACTTTGGTGCCCACTTCAGCTCATTAGATCAGTAGACCCAAAAGCTTGCTTCTTCAATAAATACAAGACTCTTAGAGGTGACTCCTAAAATGTGGATTGTTTGGCCTCCAGAACAGCAGCTGAACCCATCTTAGCCTTTTGGCTAAGGTTGAGGCTAAAAAGCACAATAATTTCTGCTTTAATGAAAACCTAGCTCTCCTATTTAAAAATAAAAACAGTAACACTGTTCTCCTTTTCAAACCTGGAGTAGAAATTGCTTTTTCTTTAAGTGTAAAAGTGGGACATACAGCCACTGACTCCCCTTCACCTCCTAAATGCAATTTCAAAATTTCTATTTAAGTCTTAAAACCCCAAAACCTTGCACTTTGAGCAATACTATCACTTAGCTAATCCCTTCACCATCTGCATATCGAGCTCAGTGCATATGCTCTGGTACCTCATTCACTATACATTCTCAAGCCCCTCCTGACTTTCTAGGAGGTTCTTACAACTCAAAGTTGCAGTAGCCCCAGCAGAGCCTCTCAAATGCTTCCTTTGTGCCCAGCCTTGATGTGCAAGATAACGAGTAGTTAAACAAGGATCCTAGATAAACCTCATTCATGGTCCACTGGATAAGTTAGGCAATACCTAATATCTGTGCAGAGCATCATCTACAAAAACCTGACCTCAAAAACCTTTCAATCCCATTTCCACCTCTCCATCTAACACAAACTCGGAGATGGAGGTGCATCCCTGTCTACAATACAGCTGGACGTTTACTCCAGCAACTCCTCTATACTTTCGTCTAATAATCAGACTTTTGCTAGCTATTCACTCTTCTTTATGAGGCTTATCCCCATGGTAGGTCACTTTGTACCAATGTCCCAATGATCTAGCTCTAACGCCCTGCCTGCACTATGGTTTATCTGTCAAGTAAAACACCAGACTCAATGGCTAGTTTACTCTGTCTGCTAGCTGCAGACCTTTCATTGGAGTGATGCAACTCCTGGAGAAATGGGTCTGCAGGGATGGCCCCAGTGACCACCTAGGTCTAGATCTTCAGCACTGCTTAGCATCTTCTTCCTCTCCTACAGGTATGATTCAGCTTCCTTCATTCTCTTCTAATCTCACCTCTATCTCAGTAGTGTACCTAGTTTCTACTTACGGAAGAAAAGCAAAGCCCTGAAATCTCTTCTATACCCGTTCCTAATTAATTTCTACCCAAACCCATTTTGCTCAACAGAAGCAGCATTCTTTCATCAGCACTCTGGGCCATCTCCTCTTGCCTTCTTGGTGGAGATTATGCCTCTCTCAACTTTATTTTGACCTTTCTCTATAATGTGTCCATCATGCCAGGATTTAAACACCCTCAAGCAAAACCACCATTTTCCTCTGTATCAACTTTTCAGGACCACTCACCAGCCTCTCTGCCCTTTAGAGCTAAACTCAAAACTAGTTTTTCATACTGACTGTCTCTATTTTTCTCTTCGTCTACAAAGTATTACTGATAAAACAGACAAGAGACCAAAAGAGGTTTCTAATTTTCTTGGTCTGTTTTTAAGCATTTGAAATTGCCAACACACTATTAAAGCACACTTACACTCATTGCTTTTCTCAACTTGCCTATTGTTTTTCAAGACACACACTGTCAGGTTATAATCATCTGTATTTAATAACTAGCCCTTGTGGATGCACAATAGTTACATTATAACAACTATCCTGTCAGCATCTACCTCCTTCAGTTGTTTTATAGATTTTGTTTTTGAAAAAATTTGAACTTATTTGATTCTGGGTCCAAATGAGGCCCTTGCATTGCAATTGGTTTGTTTCCTGCTACCTCGGACTCGATAAACCTCTGTACCTCTCTTTTCACCTTAACTACAAAAACAACACATTTTTTTTGTCCTCTAAAATTCCCTATGACCTTAATTTTCTGACTCGACCCCACTTTTGTTATTTAACATGCTTTTCTGTCTTTTATTTCCTGTGGAATTATTAGATCTAGAGGCTTGATCATTCTGATATTCAATAAAGGATAGGGGAGAAGGGTTAAGAGTATTTATAAGGGAATATTGCAGAACCCCAACAAATGGTATATAATATTCGGTTTCTCTCCATTTAAGATGTTATTTAAGCCAGTGGGGTCACTCTGTATAATTAATAAAAACATTGATTTATTAAGCTTTCTATATTCCCACATATACATTCTCCCTGTTGATATCCTATGTTATATTCAAATATAATTATTAAATCCTAATTAACCAGGTTACCACCTCTTTCATATCTTTCAATGGTTTCTCACTATCCTTTTAATAAGGCCACCCATGATCTGGACTGAATATCTTTGCATTCTCTTCTTACTAAATATGCCCAATACCAGTGCTATAATGGGATTCTTTTGGGTCTCCTTAATACCTTTCTCTTTATGTATTTTTATGCATACAAAGAGACTCCTCAGCTAAAGCTTCAATTTACACCCATCCGCAAACATAATGTTCTCAGGAAATTAATTCTTCGTGTCAAATGCTCTAACATTTGTCACACTTGGAATTGATTGAATATGACTTTTTTACCTACTGTGAGGACAGAAATCACTACTGCCTTACCCACATCTGTAGCACAGTATAACATGCATTTAATAGTTGTTGGGTTTTACTAAACTGGAAAGCGCATTTTCGCTGGTAGTGACAATACTCCTTCTAAAATCATTTGTGAAGTACTTGAGATTTACTAATGTCATTTTAGAGCATGACATATGTTACAATAAAGTATGAATATATAAAGTATGAATACATGTTATAAGATACCCAAACGCTACTACATACCAATTCACAATAAATAATACTCACTGGACTCTGCTGAACAATCTTTTTCTGTTTCTATTATAAAAAAATCTCTTCCCTTAGGAACCCCAAAATAGCAAGTAGTATTTGAAAGCCCCAAAGTGCTACCTTTATGCAGAGGAAGGGGTTTAATAAGACCTGGCTGTGCTTGAGTCATGGGTGCAGGCGGTCCTTTCCCTCCGATGTGACTGTTCACAGCAGGGCTCTGCCGCCGGCCTCTCAAGAGTGGAGAGGCACAACGGCGCCTCTTCGGGATCCCTTGCATGCTTGGCTCTCCAGGCCGTTTGTGTTTATTTTGAGGTCCAGCCACAAATTCATCTGCTTCATCTATCATCATACCCTATTAATAGATATAAAATGCTTAGACTTATACACAATTTTTAAAATGTAATGGCCACCACTTATTTGAACTGATGGATAACTACACATTTACAGCATATAATGTGATGGCTTGATTTACACAGTGTAGAAAGGGTTAATCAAGGGCTGGCAAGGGAGAATAGCAGGTAAAGGTGCTTTGCGTCACAATCCTGGGGACCCAAGTTCAGAGCCCAGAACCCATAGAAAAGTGGAAGAACCAGAGAATGACTCCACAAAAATTTGTCCTCTGACTTCCACACGTGTGCCATGAATGAGAATGCACACACACACTATATTTTAAAGACTTAATTGTGGGATCAAAAGCTAAGAGCACTTATTGCTGCTCTTAATTAGATTTTGTTTCCAACACCCATGTGACAGCCCATAAACACCTACAGATCCAATTCCAGGTGACCCAGCACCCTCTTCTATTCTCCAAAACTCCAGCACACATGTTGAATAACTCACAGGCTCACACATAGATGAAAGTAAAAAATAAAATCTTAAGCTTGGCAGTAGTGGCATGCGCCTTTAATCCCAGCACTTGGGAGGCAGAGGCAGGCTGATCTCTGTGAGTTCAAGGCCAGCCTGGTCTACAAAGCAACTTCCAGGACAGCTAGGACTGTTATACAGAGAAACTCTTTCTCAAAAAATCAAAAGAAAAAAACTTAAACAATATCAAGGTAATTAACACAGCCATTATCTTACCAACTCATGTATGATGGGGTAAGGGAGTTAAAAATGTTCTTTTAGCAATTTTGAAATAAATAACACATCATTATTACTGTTAATTGGGATTACAATGTTGTCAACAGATCACTATAACTTAGTCCTCAAGCTGAAACTTAGTACCCCTTAATTATTATCTCCCGCTTCTTCCAGCAGCCTCTGGTATCTATCTACTTTTCTACTCTATATCAAAAAAGAAAATATCCTTTTCTTGAATGTCCATGCCATTTAAGTGGAGGTGCATGCATTCATGTCAGCATGGATATGGGCATGCCATACTAGACATATGAAAGTCAGGGGTTTCAAACTCAGGTATCAGTTTTTACCTTCCACCTTGTTTAAGACATGGTCTCTTGTTAGTCACTGTGTATGTAGGTTAACTGGCCCACTAGCTTCTGGGAGTCACCTGTCTCTAACTCCCAACTTTCCAGAAGTGCGGGAATTACAAATGAGTTCTATGGTGTATGGCTTTTATATGGGTTCTGGGGATCTAAACTCAGTTCTTCAGGCTTGCATGGCAAGTCCTTAGCCCACGGAGTCCTCTACCCAGTCCCTCTATACAGCTTTTTAAGTGGTACAACTAATCTCAATTCTTTAATAATTTAGTCAATTGACACCTTAATAAGATACTCTACCCAGAAAATAACTTTAGCTAAACTGGCAACAGCTACCACAAACAAGTTATATATCATAGAACATTGCAGAGTTACCTTTTTATCCAGTTTGAAGGGATTGCCAAATGTATGCAACCTTCGAGGCTGATCAGGATCAAGCTCTCTCAGTGGAGAAGGTACTTGCTTGAGGTATTCCTGGTAATTCCCCATTTGTGCTATAGGTACACTGTGTACTTGATCTTTTCAGAGAGAAGATATCAACGATAAAAGTTACTCTCACTAAAAATTACACTCATCTCGTGTTACAACATACTGGAAGTTAGTATGGAGAAATTAAAATTTAACAGTCTTTAATTCTCCAAAAAAATTTAAAGTACTAATTTTATCTTCTAGGCAAAATATAGTAGCATTTGTTTTAAAAAAAAAAAAAGCAGAGTGGAATTATCGCATGAATATAAACCTGCATTGAGAACACTTAAGTCACAACAAAGGTTAATGATGTGATTTGCAGCAGATAACATAGATACATCAAAGAAGTAGCAGAATATGCCATGAAATGGCCACCCAGAGTCAAACTATCAGAGACACTAAAATAGTGCAAGAAAATGACTACATGGATCCATGTTTCTGAAGGCTAGAAATGAAAGAAACTGTAGTGACAGAAAGGAAGATAGAAAATAAGGGATGAATCACCCTTTTTTTAAAAAAAATATTTTTTTAAATTTGTAATTATGTATGTATATATACATATATGTGTGTGTGTGAACAATTCTCTCCTTTTACGTCACTTGAATTAACAATGGACTATTAGCCTATAAAGTTCGTGTTACCATCCCCTTACGAATTATAAAGAAAAGTTATTTTACAAACAGAAATATTTAAAATCATACTCTAACCTTCATCCTGGCCTTTAAGAAATTTTCGAGTGCTCTTTAAAAGATTAGATCTCATTCTTGTTAAATGATCCAGAAGATTCCGTCTTGGTATATCATAAGCATTTCTAAAGGTCTGAGGCTTCAAATCCTATATAAACACATTCAAGGATAAAATATTTCTAAACAGAACTTAAAAGGGTGTACAATCTCTTAGTCTGCAGCATAGGACCATAAGTAAAATATAAAATATGTAAGTTAACTAGGTAGCTTTAAAAGAAAAAAAGAAAACAGACACACGATGCCATCTTAAACACACTGTTTTAGGGCCAAATGATAGAAATTTTATGGTAAGCTCAACAAACTAATTTCAAACTCACCTTTAACTTTAAGGGCTTCTTAGTATGTTCTGGGTAAAAGAAGCAAATCACTTAACAAAACTCCTTATTTAAACACTGGAAGGGTTTCTAAAAAACATTTTGACATCTCAACATGTGACCTGATGAGTAAGTGTGTGAGTTTATAGTTGGGTGATATTATCACAACCTAGCTTTAGAGCACTTTCATGGTCTGAAAGTTCCCTAGCCCTGTTTATTATCAATTCCTATTTCTATCCCCTATGGGTAACTTTCTGCCTACCAATATTCATTCCATCTTATGTGCGGAATCTTCCAACACCTAAGTTTTCATATCTGGCTTCTTTTACTTCACTATTCTTTTTATTCCACAACACTATTTCATTTTGTTTTGTCTTTTAACAAACAAAATGTCTTTTGTTTTTTGGCTACTATAAATAACGTGGCTATGAAAATTCGGCACACATATTGTATGTAGATAAGTATTTTCATTTGTCTTGACACAAGTAAGAATTGCTAACTGTAACAAGTATTTATATTACCTCTTAAGAAACCACAAGCTATGGTCCTTCAGCCACTTATTTGTTTATTTTTAATTAGTTTATCTTTATGTGTGTGACTGTTTTGCCCGCATGGTGTACTATGTATGAGCAGTGCCTCAAGATCCCCTGGTACTACAGTTATAGATGTGAGCTATGACGTGGGTGCTGAGAATCAAACTCAGGTCCTCTGGAATGGCAGCAATTGCTCTTAAATGTTTAGCTATCTTTTCAGCCTTCCTTCACTCATTATGCGTGTTCCAATTCTTCTGTGTCTGAATCAACACTAGACACTGCAGTAACTATGAATATCACATTATGCTTTAATTTGCATTCCTCTGATGGCTAAAAGGCTATTTACCTTTCTATGTGCTGTTTGTGTTTCTTCAATTGTGTTATTTTGGTTATTTTTACTGGAATATTCAATTTTTGTTAGCCAGTTGGATGTCAGTTATTTTGAAACCAGTCTTTTATCAGATGTTAGGTTTCTTTCTAACCTGTACCTTGCCTATTTTGGTTCTTTCTTTAAAGTATATAGTACTGAGGGTGGAAATAGGGACTCTCAGATGCTAGGCTATCACTCAACCATTCAACTACACCTTGTTACAATACAACAGTTCACTGAAGAGCAAGATATTTAATTTTTTAAAAAGTTCATTTTACCAATATTTTGGGTTTGCAATTTTGTTTTTTATGTTTTATTATAAAAATCTTCATTAGCTAAAAACATCATGGAGACTTTTTTTCTTCTGTAAGCATAAGGTTTAATTCTTCTATTTATGACCATGATTACTTCAAATAATGTGAGGCAATGGTCTAGTTAATTTTGTATAGGAATATCCATTGTTGTAGCACTGTACAAAGCTTTTTTCCAGTTTGATTATCATAGCACCTCTGGTAAATGACTGTGTGAGAACCCACTTCTAATCTATTCCATTCGACCTCTCCAGTGTATTTAACCACATCCAATCATCTCGATATAATCACTATAGTTTTTCAGATCTAAATCACGTATTCAGTCCTCTAACTTTATTCCTATTCCAAAATTGGCTCAGCTATTCCAGACCCTTTATATTTCCATATAAATGCTAGAATCAGCTTGGCTATTGTCTACAAAAAGGCTGCTGAAATGTAAATAGTTTTAATAATGAGTATAAAGCATTTTAAGATCTTCAGTGTAAGTGAATTCTAACACCAGCTCTATAATATTTAGCAATCTTTAAGCCTTTGTTTTCATCTATAATACAAATAAGCTTACTACTCAATCAACTCATTCATTCATACCATATACAATTTCTGTTTGAATTCCAAAACTCAATGGTTCAGTGATAATACAATGAGGATCATTCTGCAGCCATATAAAAGGACCTCTTGAAGCTTGGACACATTGAATGTTAGTAATGTCAACTGTGACTTGCTCTATAAAGAACAGAACACAACTAAAGCAGTGTTAAGCTGACTGTTACCTTATTTAGTAAAGCAACCTGGAACCCAGTGTACTCCTTCATATTAAGATCTAGCAGCCTGTGGGGAACATCCTCTGAAATTCCCTGCAGCATTTGTTGAAAACCTTTCCGATGTGCCATTGACAGACCATGTGACCGGCTTCGGACTTTAATTCCAGTTTCCTGCACTACTTTTTTGCCCACAGATCCGATGACTCTATCAGATTCAATTTTGGCCTAAAATAAAGAGAAACAAGAATTGCATCAATACAATCTAAGTTTATAAATCAGATACTAGTGAATATGCCCTTCCATAAATTTATTGCATTTAAAAAATTAAAAATCTCAAGTAATCATAGTTTACATTGAGTATTAGGTAAACCAAACATCCCTTAAATAACAATAACTTATCAGTTAAAATAATTACAATTCAACCAGGTAGAGGTGGTACAGACCTTTAATCCTAGCACTCAGGAGGCAGAGGCAGGTAGATCTCTGAATGAGGACAGCCCATTTTACAGAGTGAGCTCCAGGTCAGCCAGAGCTATACAGAAAAACCCCGTATCAAACCAAACCAAACAAACAAACAAACAAACCCCCACAACTCTAACCTTTTGCAGCAAGCCAAACATTCCTTCAAGTTATTTTATTTATTAATATTCATCACACAGAAACCATGATGTATAAAGGTTTCATAGAAGAGAACATTCCCAATTCAGAAGCAATAGGAAATAAGATAACAAATTGCTTGAAGACAATGTATTTAGCATGTACAGATATGGAAAACCCTGATGCAGACTGGAACCACATTTTGATTCCTTTTAAGTTTCAGAGAAGTGTCTAAAGTACTAGAAAAAAATTTTTAAAAGACATTCACAATTTAGATGGATGTAAACTGCCTACTGCTTGATAGTCACAGTATCTATTCACAGAACTTGTAGCTAGAATAATAAAATCCCATGGTTTTACAAACAGTTCCAAAGAAACAATTCCAAAAAATACAAGTTTTAAAACAAAGCAAAATAAAATGGTAATTTTTTTTCCTAAGGGAAAGCTCTTTCTAAAATAAATTCTCCAAAAAAAAAAAAACACCCCAATAATCGTATATAGAAGTTAAGCCATATTCACAAATGAGAATTATTAAAAATTTAGAACCAGCAAGAGCTTGCTTGTAGTCTGTTAGCTTTGATGTGGTAGTACACTTGTCATCTTAGCTACTCAAGAGCCTGAAGCAACAGGACTACCAAATTCTAGTCTGGGGTAGATTAGCTTGCCTTAAAATGAAAGGAAGAAAGTGTTGACCAAGAATATTAGCTCAGTTACAAAGTGCTTGCCTACCATGTGAGAAACCCTGGGTTTGATCCCAGCACCACAGCAATAAAGAAGACAGCCATCAAGAAAGAGTTTCTAGGCTACTAACCATCTTAGTTATCAGTCAAATTCTTTTCTTTGTTTGTTTGGTTTGGGTTTTTTTGATTGTTCTTCAATACAGGGTAACAGCTCTATGTAACAGCCCTGGATATCCTGGAACTCATTTTGTAGACCAAGCTGGCCTCAAACTCAGAGAGATCTGCTTGCCTCTGCCCCCCGAGTGCTGGAATGAAAGGTGTACACCATCACTGCCCAGCTAGCTATCAGTCAAATTCTTAATGCTCACTTCCACTTTCTGACATTACCTGCTGACTCAATTTTTTGAGGTATGAAATGACACTGTAACTGAGTCCATACTCCATACTGTCTGCTATTAGATTAGGTGCGCCCATCATTCTAACAGCTTTCTTCAAGGGCTAAAGAAAAGAAAAAGGAAACAGCATTCAATGTCAAGTTTGTTAAAAATGTTCTATATAGTTGACTTTTTAAAATTTCTCACCCCAAACTGCGTTCTTTGCCTTGAAAGAAACATAATACAGTTTATCAGTAGCATGAAAAGCAATTTAAGATAATTAACATGAATTGGAAGCATAATAATCCATTCCAGGGCAGTAAGAATGAAGTCCTGAAATGCTCAGTACCATGGGGAGACACTCCTGTGGAAGACTGGAGCAGATACACCAGGGTCGGGGAGGAGGGATAGTACACTGAGACACCCTCTCCTCCTTTGGCTCTCACTTTCAGAAGGAGTACAGTAACATCTATCTTGATCAAGTTGTCCTGGAATTAGTGAGTCAATACATGGAAAGCCAGCCTTATAAAAGCATTGGCATACAGTAAACCAGTGACAGACAGTCAACCCTCACTATTACCATCATTAGCTGAGCTGAAAAAGAAAATAAGCTCTGAAGAGGGAAAAGAAACAGGAGAATAAGCAGAATAAAAACTTTAAAACAAATATGTAACAGTAAAAAACTTAACAGTAAGGAGGTGCTAAATTCAGAGTCACTTTATACGGTAAACTATCACCAGTAAACATGTCTACTATATGTGGACAAGACACAGCCAGAAAAAGAAAGACAACCTATGGCATGGAAAATGCATAAGCTCTGTTGTCTCCTGAAATCAAATCCCAGAGCTCATATGTAATACTCATAAAGCTCTGGCTAAGTCTTAAAGATTGCTATGAAAGATAACGGAGTCAAGATTATCTGTAAGTCCCTTCCTTCTTACTCTCTAACAGGACAAGTACCCTGTTCTAGACTTTCAAAGCAACTAAACTTTTATTAATCTTTTGATGATACCTGGGACTGCCTCGAAAATTAGTTCTAGACAGAGATGGAAAATTCTTGCATCAAAGTAGAAAACAGAGCTAGGAATGGACCACTTTACTTTTAGTTCCTGACCTTCATCTGTGAAGCAGAAATAAATCATTTCTACCTCACAGAGTGACTATAAGGACCAAACACCATTAATATACACATCACGCCAGGACAGTACTTGGCCATGGCTATACAGTATTCACGTATTTTCACAACCACTATTATTATACTCATAATATGTCATCTATACATTCCATTTTCATGTCATTTACAGTGATGAGTAAAAGGTTATAATGCTGACAAAAAGCTGTAAGCATCAAGGTCTATTTTAACAATGTTATTCTTACCCCAAGATAGTAGGGAGGCATTGTCTTCAAATAACTTTCAAATGACTGTCTCCACTTCAGTGTTGGCTTGGCTTTGTGCACTTTGAACAAGTCATCTGGGAACAGTAAACAGCAGAGTATCATCGTTCACTGGGATCTAGTCAAAGCTCCTCTCAAGTTTGCTTTGTTACTGCGGAGGCAGCAACACCAGAAAATCTTAACAAAATTAAGAGCAGGAAACCTAGCTCTAAGGGTTTTTGTTTGTAATTCAATTTTAAGGTGAAACAGTGTTAATTATGGTCTAAAAAAATACACATTAATGAATATCAAAAAATACACAAGGAAAAAAAGAAATTTTATATCCTGTTAGAAAAAAATCAAGTATGTACAATAGTTCATACAAAAAAATACCCACTAATATCCTCATTACACCTTTTTCCTTTAAAGATTTATTTATTTATTATGTATAGAGTGTTCTGTTGCATGTGTTCCTGCAGGCCAGAAGAGGGCATAGGATCTCATTATAGATGGTTGTGAGCCACCATGTGGTTGCTGGGAATTGAACTCAGGACCTCTGGAAGAGCAGACAATGCTCTTAACTGCTGAGTCATCTCTCCAGCTCTCCTCACTACAACTTTTCAATCTGATGTTTTGTGGAAGAACTGTTTCTCAGCACTCTTCAAAAATGACAGCTAGATTGAACCTGAAAACGAACACTGGGCTTTCTCACGTCAGAATAAATTCCTTAATTATAAAAGGATTTTCTGGTTGCTGGGCAGTGATGGCACACGCCTTTAATCCCAGCACGCAGGAGGCAGAGCCAGGTGGATCTCTGAGTTCAAGGCCAGGCTGGGCTAGAGTGAGTTCCAGGAAAGGGGCAAAGCTATACAGAGAAACCCTGTCATAAAAAACCAAAAAAAAAGAAAAAAAAAAAAAAAGTCTTTCTGGGCTGATAAGATGGCTCAAATAAGTGCCTACAGCAAAGCCTAGCAACCCAAGTTCGATCCTCAGCACCCACATGGTCTCACAAGTGGTCCTGTGGCACCATGGAACATATCATGCACACAGGACCACATGTTTTTACACAAAAATAACCATCAATTTAAACAACCCAACAAACACTGAGTGGATGGCTCCTTAAACAATAATGCCCAAAGATGACCTGTCGCTTGTGACCTACATGCACATACTCACACAAAACTGTTTTCCAAATGAAAAGTTGGATAAATTCTTACAACATGTACTCATATATTAATGAATATAGCATGTTTTATGCATTAAGCAGAAAGCCTACACTAGAAAGTATCATTTGTAAGAAATCTTACTTATAGAAAGTTAGAATATTTAATTTTCAAACTTTTAGATACAGTAGAATACCTCTGTAAAATGTAAGGATTTCACACTGACTTCCAATTTATCACAAACACAAGCAGGTTATACTTAAAATGCCCTTAAGTATGATTAGCTCATTAATTTCCAGAGCTAAGAAGAGAGGGCCATTCCTTAGCATCATATAAGAGCACATGACAAGAATGACTTACCTAAGAGAGGAAGGAGGACTGGGTAATTGTAAGGCATCACAAATAAGTTGACACAGTTCAGTGCTGTACTAGCTTTCAAGTAACCAAAGGGATGACCAAGTTCATTATACTTTGCACTATTGCTCACATATACCTGTTTAAGAAAAAAGGTTAAAATCCACATTCAATAAATTCACCTGCAGTGAACGCTATGCAAACCATGGATTCATTCAGTTTAGCTTGTGTGTACATGTATGTGCAGGTATGTGTGGAAGCCAGAGGGTGACCCTGGGTGTCTTCCTCAATTGCTCTGTTTTATTCTTTGAGACATAGTCTCTTACTAACTCTAGCTCACCATTTCAGCCAGCCATCTTGCCAAGGAGTCCCAGGTCTCCTCCCCAATTCGAAGATGAGCTTTTGTACCTGGCCTTTTACACAGGTGCTGGGAATCCAAAATCTGATTATCAGGTCTTTGTGCTCTTACAGCAAATACGTTACTGACGGGCCCATCTCTCCAGTCCCCCAGTTTAGCTTTGTAAGACACAGCTCAGAGAAAGAGAGAGAGAGAGAGAGAGGGAGGGAGGGAGGGAGGGAGGAAGGGAGGGAGAGAGAGAGAGAGAGAGAGAGAGAGAGAGAAGAAACATCTTGCCTTAAACGTTCTATTCACTGTAGTTTTTCAGCTTACCTGCCAACATGTTTGAGGAGATTTTCTTTCTAGAATAAACTGAGTCAGTGGTGAAGGTTCCAACTCATATTTGTCAAAAGGCAGTTTGTCGATTACCATTGGCTCACAGTCTGTACATGAAAACTTCACTACAGGATGAGATGTACGAGGTGGCTAGAGGGGAAAATCTAATTACTATTTATACAAAATACCAAAAATCAACACATCTTAAGTACATTTCTCTTGTCAAAGTTTACTTCCTCAGTTTTGTAAGTTTAATTTACTAGAAATACCACTAAGCTGGTAAAAAAGAAACAAACTAATATTTAAATTATGTAACATCCCCAAGAAAAAGAAAATCATCAAAATCTGTAAAATGAAAATCAATTTGTTAAAAATCAAATATATCATAAATGCAAAATTTTGAATAAAAAGCATTTAATTAATTTAGAATTAAAAGACATTCACTACTTTTATATCCAAGAAAGAAATGTCCAAATCTTCATTTGTAGCAATCAATTACTTATACAGAATAGTAACTTCCACTCTAATCCTATTTCTTGATTAATTTCTGAGTACATAATATTCAGACACTATTTACAAACTGCTGATATAGAGATAGACATAATAAAATGTATATATAATAAAAGACATAAACCTTATCTATAAATTTTATTTCTTTCTGCATTCCCCAATGGATTCCTCTGGCAGATTATTCCTTTGGTATATTCATTCCTAAAGATAACTAACACCTTATTTTAAAAGTCCCTGTCCTAGAGATATAAAAAACACAACACTTAAAAAAGACATGATACGGAGCTGGAGAGATGGCTCAAGAGGTTAAGAGCCCTGGCTGCTCTTCCAAAGGTCCTGAGTTCAATTCCCAGCAACCACATGGTGGTTCACAACCACCTGTAATGAGATCTGGTGCCCTCTTCTGGCCTGCAGTCATACATGATGTATACATAATAAATAAATAAATCTTAAAAAAAAAAAAAAGAGAGAGACATGATACTCACTTCTTTTATCTCTAAATATAGTCCCCTTCATAAATACCTCACCAGTTAGGAAAAATGTATGAGCTCAAATTTGAGATTGCATTGTCAGAAAGGACTCAGCGGGCTTCAGAACTACCTATACTTTGGTGGCTCCCAAATCTACCTTAAAGGATCAAAATTATCTCATTTCTCTTATATCTATAGTCGTCTACTAGTCATATCCTGACTTACACAGCCTTCAGATACATTATATCTAATCTAGTTCTCTCCAAACCAGAAGTCCTCTTCTAATAACCTCACCATTTTTCCCTTTCAAAAAGACTTAGATAAAATAACTGCAATTCTAAGGAACCTACCAGAACAAACAGTGCTAGCTGCAGCCATCTTCTTTTTGACAATATCAAATCCTCAACTTTAACAACTAATCTTTCTTACCACTTTAGTTCAAATCTTCAGTTTCTCCAATTAGACTATCACAATTACTTTTTAACTAGTCTCCCTGACTAGTTAGCCCACTCCAATAACGCTGTTGTCATTTTATGTAGTTCACTACCTAAAATAATGCAGTAAGAGTAGCAGCCAATCACCAAGGTGTGTGTGTGTGGGGGGGGGGAGGACGAACCTGAGGCTCCTTTAATTCCACAAATAAAAGCCTCACTGCTTTAGTCTCAGTCCTCAGTCATGACCTACAGATCGACTCCATGCCCCAGCCATGCTACCCACATGCAGCTGAACGAATAGGTCATTATTTTTCATGCCCCTGTGTTTCACTGACTCCTTCATTATTTTCTCTTTTAAAACTAAATTTTAGAGAATGAGTAAGCTGCCAAGAACCAAACTCTGGGAGACTTTTCTAATACCTCTTCCCAATATGTACTCCAAACATACACCAAGCAGATCCCATTTCCTGTTATTCTGCTCTGCCCCCCACTGCAGTCAGCGAACTGTGCTCTCCAGTACATATGTCTGAGAATCCGCCCACAGACCAGTAATGTTCAAGATGGTAAATGTATTTTTTGCCTTGTTGCATTTTGTTTAAACGTATTTTCAGGAGGTGGGGGAAATTTTACCCAAATATTTAACTTTAAATGAAGGTTTAAAATATTTCAACAGTTTGACTACCATCTTTTAGGCCCATCTTAAAAATTCCTCTTTCCTTTTCCAAGAGGAAAATCTTCTAAAATTAGGTATAGAAAATTCTCTTATGTATTTCCATTTAATTCCCAAAACAATCTTGGAAGACAAAAAAGCCATGATCCAGAGGCTCACTGTAAATGGGGAATCACTTTTAACTTCAGTAACAATACTTATTTAAAAATAGTAATTTGTAGAAATGTCATTCCCCTGCTAATAGCCTTCAACTAACAAATTTTAAAGAGTTCTTTCTAGGATTATTTATGATTCTCTTTCATTATTTTAGTTTATTAAAAAAAACAAAAAAAAAACTATCTCTTAAATGAACCATATTACTAGCCCAGCAAGTAACCTACCTGCCCTTCCAACTTACCTAATTTGCTCCAAATAAAAACCAAGTTACTTTCCTGAAGCGCTGACCCCTTAAAAACAATTTCAAATGCTACTCTGGCTAGGAAAAGCTCACATTCCCTAATCTTGTATTTTAAGCTGCAAGTAGTTTGATTTATTTAACCAGTATTATTTCAGCTAACTCCCCCACTCCTCTACATGCACCTTGTTCTTTTTTTTAAACTTCCATTTTTTCATTTTCCATGAAATACTATATTGCAGTCATTAATGATAGCATTAATAACCAAGAAGATATTTCATAAAAGTATGAGAGTTAAAAAAAGTTCTAGAAAAAAAAGTAAAAATCACCAAGGAAATGGAAAGCTTGTTTATAAGAGCCAGGCCTTTAAGTAAGAATGGGACTTAAAATCACATTATGCTTCAAGCCAGCCTGCACTACAGGTTGCTAAAGAAAGCCTGAGCTGCATAGCAGGACCTTCTCTCAAAAACAAGGAGCTCCACAAAACAAAGTCATCTGGGGTTATTATCATCTAAGTGGTTTTCATCAGGTAGTTATGGTCTCTCTGGTACTTACTAGTGTTGGAGAATTCTGATCTGGCCAAAAAGACTCTGGAACCGGCCAGTGGCCTATAGGAACCCCGGTTTTAGGATTTGGTCTGACATATATGAGTTTGTGACAGCTATGCCAAGGCTGAGATCCAAAAGGTCTTGATATATCTGGCTGCCCGTCTATAGCAAAGACATTAGAACAGGAAAACACAACATTAGGTGACAAAAACCAAAATTAAATTACATCCATTAATACTCAATAAAAAACATTCTAGTGTCTGTTGATTTATGAACTTTCCTCTATTTCTTAAGTGGAAAAATACCATAACTGCTTAACAATTAAACTGGACTGCAGTTCACTAGCTAGTAAAATCTGCCCATTTCAAATGTGAATTCACCAACCCAAAGGTTTTACCTTTTGTTTACCCAATCGGAATGTGTAAAACAAACTTCATAGTGGGTTTAATAAATTACATGCTTTCCCTGCCAGATGATAAAAGCAAGCACTCACTTTGCATTCCTTGTCCCCAAATATCCACTGTCAAACAGTACCAGGCACACAGTAAATAGCATCTAAGTGTTGCTATTGGTGGATCACTTATCTATCATGGATAATACCCTGGATTTAATGCACCACACACACAGTTAAAAGGCAAAACAATCTTAGAATTAAAGGCTAACCAAGGCGTAAGAAAAATTAGTTAAATTACCTTCAATCTAGAATAATTCTAGCAAAACAAAAAATGTCTTCAATAATTCAATAAACATTTTACTCAGTTTAGATTTAGGCCTAAACCAAACATTAAAATAATTGTAAAGAATATACATTCTAATAACCTTGAAAATTTCTTGTTATATAAACTTGATACAATGATTCACTATAGTCTTTCTGTCATCTGGTCTCTCCCTGTGTCACCTCTGAGTGTTTCAGTAACTCACCCCATGGCCTTTCTCTTCTCTCAATCATCCTATAGCCAATTACCTTTGCAAAGTGCCACTGGTACATTCTAATTCTGATGCTATGGACAACTGCCATGGGATCTATGTAAGTCTTCAGATCCACTAGCTGTTATACTTTATGGACAAGAATAAAGTCAGGTGGAACAGAGGAGGATTTTTAAAAGAACCAACCTCAACAGCAAAGGCTGGCTCCTCATTTTGGTGCCCACACAAACTACTATGTCCTTATGCTTAAAGCAACAGTAGCTAAGGAACTGAATAAGCATCTCAGGTTGAACAAAGCATTCATTACCAAGCATAGGAAAAGTGAATATACTAAAGTCAATGACCTACAAGTAAGTTGGAACTATGAGTTTGCTCTATCTATAAAAGGCTGTTTGGTTCTCTAAAACCCCAGACAACAATCTTCATTATAAAAAGGTGAAGCTCCTAAACCACCAGTTTACAAGGCTATTCTTACTCTCTTCCTTTCTGTACCAACAGCAATTGTGTACCCTTGACACTGGCTTGTTAATCTTTAAATTTTATTTTATTTTGAGATAGGATCTCTCTAGGTAGCCCAGGCTGGCTTGCTGGCCTTGAACTCAAGAGATCTACCTACCTCTGCCACCCAGATGCTTGGACTTAACGTGTGCCCCACCACACCCAGTTGGCTTTGCCTTGTTGATCTCAATGCCAACACCATTCATTCTCTCTCTCTCTCTCTCTCTCTCTCTCTCTCTCTCTCTCTCTCTCTCTCTCTC